ATCAAGCCTGTGAAGAAAGGGATGCATCACACCCCAGTGCTTCTCACACGGGCTGGGCCAGTGCACTGCTGCCAGTTCTCCACATTTTCTTTGACAGGCATGGCTTGCTCTCCCATTCAAAGGGATTAGAAATTAACGATGCAGAGTGGCGGGTTTTGGTAAAGTTTTAGGATAGTTTTCTCACACATAAATATTATGTTGTATTTATTTTGGAGTTCAAGACTCTTGGACTTTCAAAGAGACTCTTTCAAGAGTCCAAGACTCTTCTTTATCCTTTGAGTGGGGAATCTGCATCTGCGGTGGCTTCCATGGCCTTCATCCCACAGCCCTGGCCCAGCCAAGGGAAGATGAAGTGTTGACACAGATTAATTTTACCCTTTTTGGTGGAGCATTCAGTTTGCTTGGGCAACACAGACATCTGCCAGATTACTTGCCTGAGCGCCTCCGGCAGTGCCAGGAAGGTCCCAGTGCCAGAAAGCAGTCTGAACAAGATCCAAGACTGTCACGTAGATTTGAAATCCCATGGGAAACCAGGAGGGAGAGCAGGGAACAGAGCAGCCATGAGCAGACGTGCAGCATTTTGTGCTCGTTAGCATTTCCCAGGCACAGCAACACCATCAGCAAGAGCAGCCACAGCACTGCCTGCAAGAGAGTCCCTGGACAAGCCAAGACCACTTGAAGGCACCACCTGAGGCTGCTGTCAAGGGAGAGTTTGCTTCTGTAACCCAAAATTATGGCTCAAACTCACCATTAGTGGATTCACATTTTTCACCACAGAAGACTATTGGGGCGGAAAATGCCTTCTTCCCCTTTCCATCAGCTTTGCTGTGCTGCTGGTGTTTGGCTGCTGAGATTGATCTAATCAATGCTCATATAGGGAGGTTTGTCTGGCCTGGAAGATGATATTATTGAATAGGTCTATCAAATTTGTCAGTGTCTTCGCTGACAATTTTCATGAATATATAACATGGAAATATGGCTCAACCATACCAACTTATTCTTTATAGTGCTCAAAATGACTTGAGAAAAATCTCTAATTTGATAATGAGAAAGGATAAAATCAGTTAGGGGGATAACTGCTAATATCCAGATCTTAAGAAGGGTATATAAATATTAAAGAATAAAAATAAATAGGCAAATGAATAAACAAGATGAAAATTCCTTGATTGCCCAGACTCTGAGCGCAAAAATGCCACCAAACCAGCAGCCAACTTTACACATATAATAGGGAAATTCAAGAAAACATCAATCACAGGACTTTCAGCTCGGACACTACATTCCAAAACATACATTACACTTAAAATGTTTAAAAAAACTCTTTCATGGAAATTGCAAGATAAAGTATTTCTATTGGATTTGAGGGTGAAATCCCACCCATTCATTTATTGACTAAAACCAAATCTTATTTCACAAACTTGATCAATGTCAACAATCTGCCATTTGGTGAAAAGAGTGAAAATGCCCTCAAGTCTGAGAAATGCTTTGGTTGGGGTTTCAGAAAAATGAGAGGCCAGAATTGCTCAGAGAGGCATAAACACACACATGTACAGAAGCTTTGCTGACATGTATTGCCCACACAGCCACGGCAAGAGTGGACCGGCAAACCTGGAGAGGCAGACACTGTCAGAAGGGCCACCTACGGCTCACTCTCCCCATGTTTGCTTTGCTGAAAAAGGGGACACTGCTTTTGGGGTATCTCTGACATTAGTCAGGCATTTGCAATACTAGAGTAAATCTTGCCTGTGTAAAGTAAGAGCCCTTAAAAAACCGAGGCAATGCAAACTTAATGCAAAGATTTATGCTTCAAAGGAGCGAGTACTCTCGGTTTTGCAAACTGAAAGATTTGTGCGTTATTTGCAAGGATCAGTGGGCTTGAAAGAACAGGAGGGAGCAAAGACGGTTTGAATGGTTCAATATGAAAAAAATCAGCTGGGTGTTGGGACTTGTGGTTGTTCGCAAAGCTGCTGCCTTCCTGGGACCCCATGTTGAGCGTGCGGGGGTGTTTATGGAAAAACCCGCACCACTCAGCTACCACAATCTCTGCAAAGACCATTTGGTGCTGCTGCATTAGCATAATTGACAACATCAATTATACCCACTGCTATTTTCTCCCTTGGGAAAGTCAGTCCATACGAGTCAGTGTTTTTAAAAGCGTGTAGTGCTCACGGTCTCGGCAATTTTTAGTGCCATTAAATGGTAGAGAACAAAGGTATTCTCCGGAAAGGCACAGGCTTGGGGATATTGCTTCAGAGGCACAATGGCTGAGGAACTGCTGCTTTTTTACACAAAGCACCCCATAGTCAGGGCAGCATTTCCCTTCTGAGGAAATATGAAGGTGGGAAAAAAGTAGCACATACCACAATCCTATAATAGCCAGAATCAAACACTTCTGCACTTGAAAGAACATGAGGACGACATGGAGCTTCCTGCTTGGCAAACGCTGAAGCCTGAACGTCCACTGAGCCTCAACTTTATGCTGCTGTCTTTCTTTTCACCAACTATTTCCGAAAGGCTGGAGTTGTTACAGCTTTTTGATAAAGCCGACCCTTTCCCCTAGGGTCTCCCAGCAGGGTTATGCCACAAACATTTGGGGACACTGGAGGCATGTGGATTGTCCTGCATGAACTTGCAACTTTCAACCTACAAACTGTCACCATAAATAAAAAACGGAAAAATGAAGCAAGAATAGTAGTTAGGTGCACTAAAAGAAGATGTATCATCAGCTGGTGTAAGCAGCTGTGGTTCCTGTTAAATCAACAGATGGTACCTGCTGACACCCACCCAGGGTACACAGTCGCTGCCCTCGAGAAGCCCACTGGGGCCTGAGCCATACCAGAAGCCCAGAGGAGCTGCTTGCTAAGGTGCAATGATGGTGCCTTTCAGTGCAAAACGTATTTGCTGGACCCAACTGCTGATTCAGGATGTCTCCGTCCCTCCCGTGGCTCTGGGGGAGTGAGATGCCCCTCCACTTGCCCCCATCACCTCTCGCTGGACCATCTGTTCCCACACTCCTTCTGACCCCTCAGCTCTCAGAGACCATCTCCACTACAGACCCACTCCTCCATGCCGTAGCTCTGCCCTCCTCCCTGCCCAGTAACCCAGTTTCCTCCTGTGTTCCTTGCTCGACTCCCAGTCCCTGACAATGCTTTGCTGCAATCAATTTTCTTCTACCCACCATCTCTCCTCTCAAGCGTGGGCTGAAATATCATCTCTCTCCTAAGCAAAAGCCGTTCTCTTCCTCCTGCCCACTTGAGCTGAAGGTGCCTTCTGTGTTCTTCTTCCTCCATGACCCGTGGCTTGGCTTTCTCTTGTCATCGCTGTGACCTCCTCCTCCTCCCTAAATCCTCAAGCCACCTTTCCTCTCTTTTTGTTCCAACTCAATTGCTTTATGCTTAAATGTGCTGTCTCCTCTCTAGGCGATGTGGGTCACTGCCATCCTAAAGCTAAACCAGTAGCAGAGTAGGACAGGTTGCACAACTTTTAAAAGGGGCTGCAGGCCTTCATCTTGACTTGGGCATGCCAGTGCTCTCCTCAGTTCTCGAGTAAGAAAGAGAAAGGATTTAACACAACAATATTACTTGGCCTTATGTCTAACTTAAAATAAATCAGGCCTACTTGGCCGTATCTCCTGCCCATCGTAGGATACAACCTCAGCCCTTCCAGCTTTTTAAGAAAACTGACAACTGCCTCCCAGGAAAAAGCTGAGAGTAATCAAGGGTTTGGGGTAATGAGACCGAAGACTCTTCTCTCTTTGCATGACTCCTCACTCATGGAAGGGCTCCTTGGCAGTAGGAATTACCTGGACCATGGTTCACCTTTGATCTTTTGGAAATAAATCCCAGCATTCACTTCCCATAGAAAAGTGGAATGCTTTTCCACTTCCACTTCCATAGAAAAGTATTTCTACCCTCATTGCTTCGTGCTGCAGCCACCCCCGACACCTAGCACTCCGCTGTCTCACCGAGCCATCATTTATTCATAGCTCTATGTTTTAATCATCACGCACCATTTTTAAGTAGGAACAGAACAATCTTTTTGAACAGCTGGGTACCCTGTTAATACAGGGACATTGTGCACAGAGCACCCTCACAAGAGAAGACCAGCCAAATCAACTAACGCCAGGGGACTCTCCTGGTAAGAAAAGTTAAGACCTGTGAAACCATCAGCTGGATTTCACCTAAGCCATGCAGCAAGCTGCTCAGGTGAACCCAGCGATCTCCCCCTACTCTCTCTAAATACCTACTTTAAAAACACAAAAATATCACAAACTGAAGCAACGAATGCATCACCTGACCTATTTTCACAATACCTCCCCGAAGGCTTTGAATCCTTAGCGCAAGATGTGAATATCTGCATGCACGTGTGCATGCACACACACATTCAATTTCTAAATCAATCCTCCCAGGCAAAGGGTGTAAAAAACGTCTCCCAAACCTTGCTAGTATTTACATGTTTTTAATTTCAAATGCCATATAAGGCTATTCAGCCATTATATTTTACTGTAGCTTCTAAATAAATTAAAACCATTTATCACTTAAAAAAAAAATCTTAAAAGAACCTTATTAACTTCATAGTCAAACACAGGCAGGTAATATTATCTATTATGGCAACGTTTCGTGGTATCAAAGCTGTGCTTTGCTCTGGATTTTCACTTTCTTAAACCTGTATATCGTGACAAAAATATGCGAAACCAGTGCACAGATTCAGTAACTTTCAATAATGTCTGCTAATCCTGGCAAATAATTTACAACATTTATTTCTGTTGTCAGAACAGGCGTTTTATGGTCAGATTATCTGCACATTGATAAAATGGAAGAAGCCCATTTGTCAAGAAGGAACACAGTTTCTAGCAAAAGAAAGTAATGCAAAGACAACGTTTTCTTAAAGTAAACCAACAAAGCCATACTAGAAGATGAGGACACCTCACCTTAGCAAACAGAGGAGAAAAGAGACTTACACAGTTCCTGTGAACTGTGATTCTCACAGAATAGGAACCGTACCTGCATAATCTGTTCTTGCGTAATGCCCATCTTCCGATTTTGTAGTTGTTGTGGTATTATCTGTGTGAAAAGAAACATGTTGAGTTGGTTGGGGAGGCTGTACTCGATACAGACTATGCCCCAGCCGCCAGTGCCCAGGCAATGTAGCTTTGCTTGCACATACAGCATTGCTGCTGGCTGCGAGGCTCCCCTGGGCCTGCCAGGTGAAAACAGCAGGATCGGGCTTTTTGGAATGAAACATGAAACATCTTCCATTAAGAAAACACTTTTTCTTTTTTTTTCCCTAACAATATGTGATAACAGATTGCAGCTGGGATAAATGTATCAGTATGAAGCAGGAGTTGTCATTTCTGCTCTATTTGAAGTAATTGGGGAGTTTTAATATATACCCTGAAATGAACTGCCACATAGGGCGGTTAAATTTAAAGAGATAGGAATAAACTAGAATGTGTTTAATACACCTGTATAGTACGGCCTTGCAAGTAGACGTACTGAGGATTTATAGGTCAGAAGCTGAGGGGAAAAAAGCTATTAAGAGTCTGAGTCTCAGTAGACACTTTATTTACAGGAGCTATTTAAAGGCAAATTTTCTTCATTTTTATTTTAGAACAAAATAGAGTATTTAAAGTCAATTCAAGCGTAACAGGTGATGTAGTAGCCCATAAGGTCAGCACAGAGAAGCATGGCGTTTAATGGAGAAACATCGCGTGTCTTGAGCTGCTATTGGCAAAATTTCCTTCCAGGCATGTTTGGCATCTTTTGAGTCCCCTGCAGGTCACATGAGAAACAAGCACCAGCACCACATCTGGGACCATATCTGTGGCCTTCTGAGATTGCTTCATGCTTGTCCAATTAAGGGAGCAACAGAGTGGGTGGCAAAATGTATCTGAGGGGTTCTCCTGCTGTCTGCTCCAATTCCTACCTGGAGGGCAGAGCTGTTATGGGCAAAATCCAGGTGCCTGATTTTGAAACCAATCATAAAATCATAGAACTGTTTAGGCTGGAAGGGACCTTTAAGATCATCAAGTGCAACCATCAACTTACCAATGCCAAAACTACCACTAAACCATGCTCCTGAGCACCATGTCTACTCATCTTTTAAAAACCTCCAGGGATGGTGACTCAACCACTTTTCTGGGCAGCCTGTGCCAATGCTTAACGACCTTTTCTGCAAAGAACTTTTTCCTAATATCCATCCTAAACCTACCCTGGTGTAACTTAAGGCCATTTCTGCTTATCCTATTGCTTGTTACTAGTGAGAAGAGGTTGACCCCCACCTCGCTACAACCTCCTTCCAGGTAGCTGTAGAGAGTGATAAGGTCTCCCCTGAGCCTCCCTTTCTCCAGGCTAAACAACCCCAGTTCCCTCAGCCGCTCCTCAGGAGACTTGTTCTTATGATGGGTGGACAGCCCCCGGCCACTGTGGGCAGGCTGTGGGCAGGGTTACGCACACCACTCCTTGTGCCTTGCTTGGCATCTGTACCGCCGTGGGCTCTGGCCCCTCCGGCAGCCTGCGCTCTACAATAAATTGCAAGAGTCTAATGGAAATGTAAGAAGTGCCAAATAAGAAGCCAGCCCTGGTTCTTTTTTTTCCCGAACAAAAATTGAAAACATTCTTTGAAATGAGTTTTGTTATGAGAGTTACCTTGACATCGACCCAAAGACATGACTTCAATTTTCTCCTGTTTCTGGCATGATGCCTCTTTGATTTGACATGCATTATCATAAGATTTCCCATCGGAAGCACAAAGAGGATTGAAGTTGGTTTGAGAACAGTCAATGTTGCACACACACCTGAAAAGATAAAGAAAGAGAAAAAAGAAGAGGCTACTATGAGAAAGTTTTTTCATGATATTATAAATACATCTCAGAAATAAAAGTGTTTGTATTTTCTTGACTGCACAATGCAAATCAACAGAGTGAAAGTGGAACGTTCTGTCAAGAGGTCATTTGTATTTCTGAATGGAAATGAAATGCGGGGAGAGGGAAGAGATGCAGAAAAGAAAAGCAAGCAAAAGAAAAGATAAAGAAGAGTGTTATATGTGGAAAACTATGCCACAGCATTACCACTTGTAATTTCTTGTAAACCAAAGAACACCCAAAGCAGATATGCAGATAATTCATCCTGCTACTCCCTCTTGCAGTTAAAGAAGCCACAAAATTCACATCTGTTGAGGTGCTGACCGTTGTATGTAACACTGTGTAAATGTGGTTTTATATTGATTTAAGATTTAATTTTATAATAATTACAGCACCTATAGGCACTCTGATCATAATAAAAGATGTTATACTGAAGCCTCAACTCATCCTACTGAGATAAAACCACAAGCCAAGAGTGAGACTGACACTAGCAACGTGACTGTACTCTGTGCCTAGGGCTGGTAGGATCTCTTCTGGCTCCCGGACGCGGTGGGCATACTCGTATTAAAACCTGGGGAATGCTGTTTTTAGGAGAGACTCTGTGCCCATGCACTTTCTGAAGCATTTGAATAACTCAGCGAGCAAAAAGGTCTACCCAGGTGTCACCCAGGAAGGTCAGTGTCCGCCCCCAACCCGGTGATGTGCTCTGTATGGGGTGAAGGATCCTGTGGGCAAGAGCAGAGCGTGGGCAAGCACGGGACGGGCAGTGGTGGCCCTGTCCTCAGGGAGCTAACTCCTTCAGTGCCTGGCGTGCATTAGGTGCATCTCCAGAGCCACAACGACCCAGATCGTGAGTTCCTGGGCTGCCCCAAGACATGAAGCGAAAGCACAGCGCTGGATTCGCTTCAAAAACCACGTCTAGATCTGAACTAACAGACCAACGTGGATACAACCTGATCCCAGCAAGCCTCGCCATTGCTTATAAGGTGGAGACACCTAATTACTTTCACCAACAGCAGGCTGCAGCCTTTTTTCTTTAGGTTTCTCCTATTTCATTATCATTAGCGATGTCATACACCCTTGGGCGTCGTCAAGGGAAAGGCATGCTAATCTTCCATCCCCCGACTGCACCATGTAACAGGCAGCTCAGCCTCAGCAACGCCTGCGTTAACACCGCTGCGATCCTGCTTGGGGACAAAGCCAGAGGTCTAACCTGGCAGCTGCTTCGCCTCTTCTGAGCACGTAATTGTGCCCATGCTGCTATCTAAACTCTTCCCGGCCCCTTCTGACATTTAAGGCAAAGAAATGCGACCGATGTTCTATCTCCAGCCCACTGGTTGCACGGAATCTCACAGCACTGAGTCCACAGCTCTCCCTTTGGAAAGTTAAGTAATGGAAATGTCAGCCTCTAGCCTTGCTGCTTGATTTGAGAAAGTGTTTAAAAGTCAGTTCACCTCCCATTCGCAGCAGACATCTGGACACCTTCAACCACTGAAAGTGTAGAGGGATATATGCAAGAGAAAAACTTGGGTGGAAAGATGAAGCATAGGAAATTAGACAGCATGGGTCAGATTTCTCCGTCACCCCGTTTGGCCTCTGGCCTCTGCAAACGTGGATGGGGTGATGAAAATCAGTGGAACCAGTACTTGTCTTCTTTTAGACTTTCTTTACATTGGGTAGGTCTATTTTCCCCAAATGTTCACAAAATCCAGAAAACTTCAGCTCAAAAAGAAGCCAAAGGTGAAAAGCTGTGATTATAAATTAAATTACGTGATTTCATAACTAGTGGAATAAAAGAGTCAGGCTCCCTGTGCAACAGTTTCCCCACACTGATGAACATATAGAATATAAGAAAAAAACCCCAGCTCATTTCCTAAGAACCTCCTTATCAGAGGAATAAGAATGTTCTGCTCCACCGAAATATTACCCATCGTAATTTCTTCCTGCACCCGCTTTCAGCTTCCCACCTTAGTCAAACTCACTTTACTAGGAAACATTTACTGCTCAAGTAATAGTAATTCTTTTCACGTAGCTCCACCATTTGCATTTCAGATGGGACACAATCAGCCATATGCTCCTTTTTTTGTAATAAACCGCCTCAGAAACAGCTTCACTTCTCTACATTTTGCTACAAAAAATGAGTGTAGGTTAATATATATTATGTCTCAAGTCAAGAGAAAATTAAGTCAATGAGAAAATTAAAACAAAAGGATGCTCTTTAGGGGAAATCTAAGCAACTTTGGATGCAATTTCAATAATGCCTAGGGGACGTACAAACCCATGCTCAGAGTCAGGCACTTAAGAGACATATTTTTAAAGGTGTTTAGATGCTTAAAGATGCATGCAAACACTTTGTGTGGGATTTCCGAAATCTCAGAGACCTATCTCCCACTGATTTCAAAGACTGTTTCAGAGCCCATTAGGCATTTATTTGCATCTTTTGATACCTTCCAAAAAACAAAGTTCCAAAATGACTTTTCTGACCTCCTTCAGTAAAAGTAAGAAGAGAGCCAAGGTTTTTCTCAACTCCATTCTAAAAATCTTAACTGTGAGACCAGCCTTTCTGTCCAAGGAAGATCTCTGCAGCCACATTCTGCATTAAGAGGACACACCAGATGAGCACCACGAACCACGCGCTACTTGTGCTGATGTCAGATTGCTCGTGTAAGAGAACAGAAACGGACAACCTCTGGATCACACTATATGCTCAAATCTTACAGGATCTCCTGTGTGAAGCCTGATTTTCAAGGTTGGCTAGATAGGCAGTAAAACCCCACTACAATAAACTTGTCACCCCAATCTCCTTGCTGCAAGGATCTGTGCATCATCCACCCCTTGCACAGTTTTCAGCAGACAGCTTCTAGCTTGCATCTGCAATTTTTTACTGCTTTTGCACTTATATACTCAAATCCTACTTTAAGGCTGTACAATTAAGTCAATATCAAATATATGTCTGGAAATAAAGGTAGGATTGCATCAGGAAGATTAATGTGCCTGGGCGACTCTGTTTAATTTATAGCGCTCATCTTATCAGGGAAAATGACAGTATATTCAAACACATTTTTTTAAACTAGAGGAACAAGCAGTCTGCCATTTCAACCATGGCCCTGTAAGTCCAGGAGAGTAAATTACAGAGAAAAAGGTGGAGCATTTACTCCAAACGTGCATGCCCAGGCACCCGTGGCCACAGAGCATGCATCATCCTTAAGCGGGATCCACGGGCAATGTAATACATACAAAATGAATGGCACTTAACTTATTTGATTGAATGAAATCTTACAGCCATAGGTAAAGGTGCCTTCACTTCTTGAAGCATTATAACATGCAGAAGTGCGACTGTCTCCTTTTAAACAAGCAGAATCAAATTGTGACGTCCCCGCTTGGCCCCCAGGGTGTACATTAGGCGAGAGTCCTAATGGCGTTCAAGGCTTCAGATCCTGTGGGACACGAAAATCCCCTACCCGAAAGACAGCCTCACCCCTAAACTTGTCATGCCCAGAAATCCCATCTTGCTCCCAGTTAGCACCCAGTGCTGGTGCTTCCCATTTCATGCCCAACCTGCAACCTGGCCGTGCCCCGTCACCTTCTCATTCTTTCACAAGTGACAAAACTGGAGTGGCCTCATCTCTTTTAGTGGTTGGCCGTACCATTCCCAGGGTCCCCCCAGGTCTCCCTGTCCATGTGGGGTTGGAAACACACATCCCGCTGCTACAGGGCTGACCAACGGGCCGGCTGCCTGCCTGCAGCTTCCCAGTCCCTGAGGCACTTCGGTATGCCTCTAATTTTAAGTAATTTGATCATTTGACCATTTTATCACCCTAGCTATGACTTATGATTATAGTTATATCAATAAATCTATTTGGTTTCTGTGTTTCTAAGTGTAGCACTGAGGAAAGCTTGGCAATATAAAGGCTGACTGAGCTTTCCTCGGACTCAAGAAGCTGTGAGAAGGTCAATGAGGTCTCCTAGGGGGTCACAGGATGAAACTGTACCCAAGAGCATACACAACATACACATGTAAGGCTTAACTATGCCTTCTGCAGTCAGAAAAGCAGCTTTAAATGCATCTGTGAGGAAAGAGCGCTTGAAAGATGTCAGCCGATACCCTGCAGCTCCCCTGAGAAAGGCAGAAAAACTGAACACTGTCCCACAGGCCCATCGCATCTTTCAAGTAATGGGCTCATATGCTAATTGATTAAAATTTGGGCTGTCACTGTAAACAATCATTAAACAAGGCTCACTTTCTTATGTCTATTCTTCCAGGTCATTATGATAGTCTCTGATGAATTCCACTTCTTTTATATGCTTTATTTTATTCCATTTCATTTCATATGATGAAAATCTTCGAGGAGCTGAACATCCAGCAACCGACTTTATTATTTCAGTGATCACGAAAACAAAAAAAATGAAAACAAACTAAAAAGACTGACCAATGGGCAAACCTGGGCATCTCCTTGGGGGATTTTGGGCTAAATCCCCGAGGTGTACCCTACAGCACAGCTTGGCAACATTGTTGGACCCACTGATGAAAATATCACGTCAAGGCAGAACTGGGAGGTCTCTGCAGAGACAGAGGCGGTATTAGCTAATGCGCTGGAGAAGCCCACAAGGCTGCCGATAGGAGGGTTGGCACAGCTGAACTAAGCTTGTGACAGGTAAGATGCTGATGGGCACCTTCTTGTGCCTCACTTGTGGGGTGCAAGCCACTGTGCTTCTGTCTCTGAGCTTCTGTCGAGGCAGTAACTTCAATTAATGTACTAAACAGCACAGGGGAACCCATGCGCATTTTGGGAGCGGCTGTCACTATTTCATCTGTGTAACATGCTTCCGCCTCCTTCCCAGGGAAGCGAGAGAAGAGCGCAGAAGACGACTAGTTTTTTTCCTGTACAGATTTTGGCCATGAAAAAATATCTGGTCAGAGAGGTCTGTGTCCC